CTTTCCCTTCTCATTGCCTTTGTTTCTACATCTGTAAAATGAAGAGTTGGATTTAATGATCTTTAAAGCCCCTTCTGGCTTAGGTATCTGAATCAGTCTGAACCAAGCATGCCTTGCGAAGACTGCTGTCTCTTTTCCATTCAAATATAAAGGGCAGGGGCTTCCCTGGTGGCGCAGTGGTTAAGAATCCACTTGCCAATGCAGGGGACATGGGTTCGAGGCCTGGTCTGGGAAGATCCCACATGCCGTGGAGCAACTAAGCCCGTGCGCCACAACTACTGAGCCTGCGCTCTATAGCCCACAAGCCACAACTACTGAAGCCCACATGCCTAGAGCCCGTGCTGTGCAACAAGAGAAGCCACCACAATAAGCCCGCATACCGCAACAAAGAGTAGCCCCTCTCGCTCGCCGCAACTAGAGAAAGCCCGCGCGCAGCAACGAAGACCCAACGCAGCCATAAATAAATAAATACACAAATATAAAGGGCAAAGAGGGTAACACCTTTAAGATGACATCAAGGCTACCCCTTCTCTTCTGCATGCCTGGAAAGAGGGTGACAGTCCCAAAGCCAGGCAGAAAAAGTTGAAACTAACCTTAGAAGCATGCCTGCCCAAGTTTGATCCAGCCAAGACAAAAGGAAGAATGATTTTTTCCAACACTCAAGTCAATCTTTTCATGCCAAGAAGTCTCTTCATTATGAAGCATCTGATGGGAGATTACCGCTAGCAGTCTAAATTAGAGATTTGTAAAAGTTTCTCATTCTTTCAAAAATATTATTTGAGCTAAACAAAAAGCATGTTCTGAGACTTTTGGAATTCATGGTCCTACAAATTCATGGTAATTTCCCTGTAAATGTAAATGACTAATATGCTACCAACTCCAAGTAGGAACATTAAATAACATAAAATAATAATAAAATAACTTAAAAACTACAACTGACCATCACCACCCTTCATTACAGAAATTGTAGTATAATAACAAATGCTTGAAAGTCATAATCTCAGAATAAGGATAGTCCTTTAACCTGGAAAAATTTTGCTTTTAGAATCACTTACTACACTATTTATTTTTCTTATTTCCCCTATCAGGCTGTGTATTTGGGAACCATATACTTAAAGAGATGTTTAAATGAATATTTCTGATTGGAATTAACAAACCTCTCAAAAACAATAATTGGCAACCATTTTCTTTTACAATAATTTTGGGGATATCTAAGTTCAGTTTTATTTGTATTTTAAGATAAATACATGGTAAATTTTAATAGTAAAACAATTCTCCATGACTAGAATATGTTTGGGGCTGTTCATTTTTCCTAATTAGCTTGAATTCATTTATAATTAATATACTGACAGAATACCTAAATACAATTTGGAGATGTTAACCAGCCTCTACGACTTAACTACAGAGGAAAACTGAAGCCTCAGAAAGAGGACCTTGCTGAGTCAAGTTTACCAACAGCAGTAGAGCTATGCAGTCTACAACTCAGGACCCCTGACTCCATACTGAGTGAGCTTCCACAGCTCCATGCTACCTATAACCAGCAACAGAAAGCCATTGTGCAGTTCATGGGAAAGTGCTTTGAGCAGTATAATTGTCTAACAAATACATGTCTTAAACAAAGAAGTAATTAAAACAATAGTTTCAAGTAAGATAACCTGTCTCCATGTGTTGACGGAATTCTGAAACTTGAAGGAAATGGAGGAAAAGAGAACAGAATTGACTGCATTGGCTCAGGTCAGAAATGTTGAGGGTGGGTATAGGTAGTATATTTGGAATTAGTGAAGATGCTTAAGATAAAGAAATACATGAAAGACAACACTTGCAAGGGGACAGAAATGATGTTTTAATCTGAGGGTAGGCTGAGGAATCTGAAGAATGGTGCTGTTATGAAAAATGAGAATATAAAACTAGTTTGGAGGGAAAAATAAAGATATATTTTGGTCATAAATGAATATTAAGTATGAATCAGATTGTTGACTAAAAGCGTCTTGTACATTTCTGACAAACAGACATTAGAGTTCGAGATTTTGCTGAAGACTCAAGAAAAAAAAGTCTAGGACTCATTAGCATCATCTGGGAAAACATATGTTCTCAGAGAAAATCAAGTGTATAAAATTTTCTTGAAAATGAACATGAATACTCAGGAGGAAACTAGAAAAGACAATAAAAAGGATAGAGAAGATATAGGTGGAGAACTGGAGTACTGACATATACAGAAATCAGGAAAGAGTTTTGAAAAGATGGGAGTGGTCAAGAGGAGCACATATAAAGAAATCATGAACATTTTATAAATAGCCAATGGATGTTCCCTGAAAGATGTCATTTTTTTAGACCAGTTTTGGTAGTGTGGAAGGAGCGTGAAAACTGGGCAAGTAGAAGCCAAGTCAGGGAGGGGTTAGGAAAACTGGTACAATAAAGAAAGGGATTGATTTAACCACATAGGTAGTAAAGCGAAGAAGAAATGAAGTCCTACATCCCAGGGAAGTTGTGTCTGAAAATTTTCTTTGGCTTTATTTGTAGAATTAAAATATTAAACTAAAATATCAATGATGCTGACTCTTTAGTTGATTTAGTGACCATATAAACTCACTTCACACCCACGTTAAATGATTTTGTAGTCAGTGTTAGCAAAGATGACTAATTTGGGTAACAAAAATGTCACTGCATTCCAAAATATTTAGGAAGGCACAGTTCTCTGAAGAACCATAAGAGGTCAGGCTGATACTAAACACTGGCACCCGATGCCTGGAAGTAGTATCTGAAAGCTGGACTATCTAAGGAAATAAATGGAGGCACTTGTTAAATTCAACACCAATCTAAAATTTTTTAAAAACTGTTTTAAGGGCTTCCCTGGTGGCGCAGTGGTTGAGAGTCCGCCTGCCGATGCAGGGGACACGGGTTCGTGCCCCGGTCCGAGAGGATCCCACGTGCTGCGGAGCGGCTGGGCCCGTGAGCCATGGCTGCTGAGCCTGCGCGTCCGGAGCCTGTGCTCCGCAGCGGGAGAGGCCCCAACAGTGAGAGGCCCGCGTACCGCAGGAAAAAAAAAAAAAACTGTTTTAAGCTAAGTAAAGTAGGGTAATAATGGGCTCAAAAACTCTAGAACGTGATACAATTTACATTATTAGTGCTTATAATAGTAATCTTACACATGACACTTTACAAAGTGTTTTCATAGGATTTATCATTACAATAACCCTAGAAAACAGGCATTACCGGCCCCTTGTTAAAGATGAAGAAATTTAAACTCAGAACACTGAGTGCACAAAATAATGCAGCTAATAAGTGGGAGAAACAGAATTCAGACTTAGGTTAGTCTAATCCCATCTTCAGGATAATCCCCTAGAATTACAGAGTATTAGGGCATTTGAAGTAGTGGGGGTAGGGGTTGTCTTTCAGCTCTCCTAGGTCTCCCAAATGCCTCATGGAGGACACTTTAAAGGAGAAAAGATAATCCTATTGTCACCCTTTGTCTAGACCTGCTTCAACTTGGACTGAGAAGCCAATTGCCTGGGTTCCGTTTAAAGGAGTCTAAAATAAAAATACAAAAGAGGAGAGAAAATCTAAGCAGAGGAACGACACGACACTCCAAAATCAGCCTACTTCTTTTTGGTTCTGAGAGATGTGGGCTCTTTCTAGTCTCAACTCTGATATTCCTCTGCCTCACTCTTTGTCTCACAAAAGGGATTTCTGGCTGGCTCTACAAAGGCATTCTTAACCTCGCCCAACCTCTGGCGCTCTCAGAGTGGTCCTTTTCTGCCCCCAGTCACCAAGCTAAACATTTTCACACAGTGAGTGAAGTGGATCCTTTAGACATAAAGGAGGAAGCATTTGGGCAATAGTTGTTGTTCTCCCACCCAACTGCAGAACTAAGGACCCAGCTTTATTTAAGCTACTCCACCGGAAGAAGTCACAGCTAAATCTTGGGTTATCAAAGCTGAAGCATCATTAGCGTTTATCTAGTCTGACGGTACTTAGCATGTGCTATGAGTCACAGAGCCTTCCAGAATGTGATGAGAGACACAGTTAGGGCAGGCCTACAATGAGCAGTTTATTTTCTACACTCCTCCTCCAGGACTATTTCAAATATTCCACACTGACTTTCTACAACTCTCAGGTGACCACATTTGATCCTTATAAAAACCCTGGGAATGAGACATGGCAGCTGTGTTTTCCGGTTTGGGGGTTTTCTTTAATTTTTTGGTTAAGAAAATTGAGGCGCAGATATTGAGTACTTTGTCCAAGATAACACAACTGGCCAATGGCAAATGGCAGAACAAGCTCTGTACTATGATTCCTGAGCTTACTTCAGGGATCATGAAAGGCCACTGCAATTTACAGGTATGTAGGTTTGTATCTATGTTAAGGAGGTTTGTTCATATACCGTTGGGTTGATTAGGTTTTATTCGCCGAAATCCTTTGCTTTTCCTAGTCTCATTCCCACGGGGCAGTGGAAGCGGCAAGTGCGTTTGGGGAGGCAGCTGGGTTCTAGAAATTCTCAAAGCGAAGACCCTCCCCCAGTGCCACTTCCATATCTGCTTTCTAAAGGACAAAAGGCGCTACATCACAAGATGAGAGGGCCGGCTGCCAGGGAAAGGTGGCTTAAGGAGGCGTCTCATTCCTGGAAGAGACTTTCTTTTTTTCTTTTCCTTACCTGCCCTGAGAGGCCACCTCCGGTATCTTCCCCATAAGCGTCTTTGCCGTAAACATCTTTGCCCCGGGTGTTTTAGCCATGGGTAACTAATTAGCCGTAAGGCAATTTTGCCGTAAAAGATTAACAGGTTGATCGTTCGTGTTGATGATTCGGTTTCCACTGGTAGGCAGTTTGGTTTCATTTATCCATTGATTCAGTACTCCAATTTTTATATTACATAAATCTTAGCCCTCATAATAGTCTAGACGGTGAGGAGCACGCTGGCAGTCTTAAAATAGTGGATGATAAAAACTACACATATGGGCTCGATAGAAAACAAGGTGATAATACTTAACTTGACAATATACCAGGAACAAACAACAGTGTAGAAGCTTTTACGAGGCAATTCAAAGCTTAGTTACAAATGTGCATCCTAGTATTTGGAAAACAATACCTCTGTTAATGAAGGCAGAAATTTTAGCAAAAAAGAAACAGTGCGATGCCGATGCCAAACGAGGAGACGAATCAAGCAAAAAAAGATATAATACTGTGAACTAAAGACGTTGATGGCAAATGCTTAGGTACAACCCACAAAATTAAATTAGGTATTTGTGCAATATGGCCCTGAATTTGCACACATTTTAAATGAATTCAAACATGCTGTATTTTGCAATAAAGTCTTTTAAATTTTGCTATGAAAAACAAATTTCATTATATCCTCATTAATGTCCCTCTTTTATTTTTAGTAATTTTATCTTTTAGAGCAAAATTGCCTTAGGGTCAACTAGCTATCAGTGAAAGTGTTTGTGGCAAAAATGCTTGTGGCAAAGATGCTTACAGAAAAGAAGTTTATCGTGAAAATATTTACCTAGAACCTGTAGAGACACACATATCTCTGACTGAGATGCCCTTTTCTCAGCTTCCACATTGCCTCTATTTGTCCCACTACGGCATTTACGACACGTTGTGCTGAAATTACCTGTCCCTCTGTTTCCCTAATGCAGATAAGATGGTGAGCTTATTGAGATATTTATAACCAATTCCTCTTTGTATCACAAGCACCCAAACTGTGTTTTCAAAATACTATCAATGATTACCCATTAGCTCTTTGTGAAATAAAGGAAAATATCTATGATGATTCTGTGGTTTAAAGAATTTTCTTGACTCAAGCACACAATTGCAAATGTGTATATTAATGACATAAATACAAAATGCATTAGCTTTTGAAAAACATATATTCCATGGTTTATAATGTCCTAAAGATTTTCCAGCTTTTATTTTCTGTTTGGAGACCTAAAGAAAAGATTACTCTCCTGGAAGTGGTATGAGAGGATGGAGTGATCTTTAAGAACACAGGAGAGAATGGGCCTGTAGGTAGGACTGTAAGAAGCCTAGGTATCTCCCATCTGACCGTGCACTAATAAAATCTCTGGTTAGCACCATACCACCCAATCTTAATAGTACAAGATGCCAAATTTCAACAAAAAGTGTGTATTTAAGAGTCTCAAGTACCTTAAATCTGATATATGTGATAATATTTTTAAACTCAGTTGTATAGCTCTTTTGCTGGGCATTTTCTCATGAAAACCTTCAGAGGGCTTTATCAGTATATAATGGTTTGCTAATACTTTAAACAAATGGTTCCTCTTACCTCTGCCCATACAGTCCCCTAATAATGTATTTTAATAAAGCCTACGTGGCCTGACTATAAGCATGGTCAAGGGTATACCATGACACTTGGTCTTTATTTCTCTCTATGAGGATGTGTTGGAAATCAACCATAGTATACTGTTGGAAATTCTGGGTCAGCTATGAGGAGTATGTTCAAGCACTGGTCTCAGTGCTTCTGGTTGTGTGGCACTGGTAAGCCACTTAATTTCCTGAGGATCAATTATACATATTGGCTAAGGCTTCCCTGGTGGCACGGTGGTTAGGAATCCGCCTGCCAATGCAAGGGACATGGGTTTGAGCGCTGGTCAGGGAAGATCCCACATTGCCGCAGAGCAACGAAGCCCGTGCACCACAACTCCTGAGCCTGCGCTCTAGAGCCCGCAAGCCACAACTGCTGAGCCCACGTGCGACAACTACTGAGGCCTGCACGCCTAGAGCCCTTGCTCTGCAACAAGAGAAGCCACCACAATGAGAAGCCCGTACACCGCAACGAAGAGTAGCTCCCACTCGCTGCAACTAGAGAAAGCCCGTGTGCAGCAACGAAGACCCAATGCAGCCAAAAATAAATAATAAATTTTTTTAAAACAATTATACATATTAGCTAATATGTATAAACAGCTACCTCTGAGCTTAAAAACAAGAAAGAGAAAACTCAGGGCTTCCCTGGTGGTGCAGTGGTTGGGAGTCCGCCTGTCAATGCAGAGGACACAGGTTCGGTCCCTGGTCCGGGAAGATCCCATGTGCCGCAGAGCAACGAAGCCCGTGCACCACAACTCCTGAGCCTGCGCTCTAGAGCCCGCAAGCCACAACTGCTGAGCCCACGTGCGACAACTACTGAGGCCTGCACGCCTAGAGCCCTTGCTCTGCAACAAGAGAAGCCACCACAATGAGAAGCCCGTACACCGCAACGAAGAGTAGCTCCCACTCGCTGCAACTAGAGAAAGCCCGTGTGCAGCAACGAAGACCCAATGCAGCCAAAAATAAATAATAAATTTTTTTAAAACAATTATACATATTAGCTAATATGTATAATATTGTTCAGTGTGCATCCCAGGGTTATTGTGAGACCACTGAGTTGATCCATATGAGAATAGTTTGGAGATTATGAAGCACTTAATAAATATGACAGTATTATTTTAATGGAACTGTGATGGGGTAAAGTATGGTCCCTCTATTCATGTTTAAATGTCACTTCATTCAACATAGCTGCCATCTGAAGAAGTCCAGTTCTACCTACTGCATATTGCCTGTACCCTGGAATAAAATGGCTCAAATATTATTTGCACGCCAGATATTGACTCAACTGACACTGAATTGAAAAGAATCTTAAAACTTCAGACTACTTCTGAGAGACCACTAGAACCAAGGGGATATATTAGTAGCATAAGCTCTATCATTCCTTCTATAGAGCACTTCATGATATTAATCAGTCATAGCGTGTGTTCTCACCAAGGCTTGATGCAACCTCAGAATCCTTCAAAACAGAGCGGTTTAGGGTAGCCATTACTCAGTTATTGTAGTAGGCACAAAAGTTCAAATTCTACAAACAGACTCTGGGACAGAGTAAATTAACATAATGACATTGGAATTTTGTTTTCAAGAGTTAATAAATGGATGTAGCAGCCACAGGGAAAACTAACAAGCTAACAGATAACATCTGGGAGCTCCTAGCAGTGATCTTTAAAGCAGTGCAGAAGGAGTGCTATTGGAGTTACATTAATACAGTTTAAAAAAGAAAATGCCATTTAAAGACCAAAATCTACTCTTAGTTGGAACAATTTAGTGTTGGAGCAAAAAGTCATACCTATAGCATTTGCCTTACTTCTGTAAAAAGTAAACATCTGCCTTACATCATTACCTTACTCCTGAATACAATTATTATAGCCATATATTTCCTATTTCTTAAAAAGTCTTAATTATGTTTAATATATTCTAGTTAGAAAAGGAAAGTGATTTCCTATTTCAGGAAACTTTACATCACAACTACATACAACACTATAGATAATTCTAAGTTTGCTGTCCAAAACTTCTGTTCTGAGGGACAGTCCCTTAGACAGAATGCACTAATATCAATGTCAGTGTGTTTACTTTGCTAGATTGACTGTGGTGAGTTCCAGGACCCCAAGGTCCACTGCACTCGAGAATCTAATCCCCACTGTGGTTCTGATGGCCGGACATATGGCAATAAATGTACCTTCTGTAAGGCAATGCTGTAAGTATCATACTCACCAAAACTTCCTTGCAAACACAAACTTCCAGAATAAGACTATGGCACTTTCCTTGAGATATTCTAGAAAGTTCTACTCATACCCACCCATAGAAACTGAAGAAATAAGCTGCAGGCAAATGGGTTGAAAACATATGGGTCTGTGACACAAATGAACCTATCTATGAAACAGAAATAGAATCACAGACATAGAGAATAGACTGGTGGTTGCCAAGGGGGAGGGGTGGGAGAGGTTTGGATTGGGAGTTTGGGATTAGCACATGCAAACCAGTATATATAGAGTGTATAAACAACAAGGTCCTACTGTATAGCACAGGGAACTCTAGTCAATATCCTGTGATAAACCATAATTAAAAAGAATATGAAAAAGAATGTATGTATATGTATAACTGAGTCACTCTGCTGTACAGCAGTAATTAACACAACACTGTAAATCAACTATACTTCAATCAAAAAATTTAAAAAAAAAAGAAAACATATGGGTCAAAAACAAACCAAAAAAATTATCTAAACTATTTGAAAACATAAACAGTTTACTTTGTTATTATTAAATTTGACTCAGGAAAATTATTTTTTAAATTTATACAGCTTTAAGAATTTTGACACAGTTTCTGATTTTTTCCTTTATTTCTAATTAAAATTTCAATAATTTTCATTCAGTTATGTTTGTTGTTATTATTAATAATTTTGGAAAAGATGAAAGAAATTTTTTAAAGTGCAGTCAAGTTTGAAAATTCATCAAAATCAAAAACATGAAAAACTTGTGAGAAAATTTATCAAGAAAAATATTACTTTAACCAAATTACTTTCAGACATTTTATTTTATCATAAATTATATGTTGCTAAGGCACCAAGTCCCATTCATTCTTCTCTTTTAGTCTGATGAAAAGAGCCTTTCAATAAAGAATAGAGGAGAGAATTATCCCTTATTATCCAGACATTCAAACTTTACAGATAGTATACTAGGAAGATCCTATCAAGGGCCAATATTTATTGAATTTACATGTTTATAAGAAAGAACAGGTGCTATAGATTTTAGGCAATTGACTGTGAGATTCCTGATTAAATATAATTTATAATTAATAAAAATTTATTCAATCAGTCAATCAATCTTTTGGTCTGATTGCTCTAAAAGCAAGGGGGTTTAACCCAGATAAAAGTCTAACCCAGATAAAAGTTACCTCACTTCCTCTATCACTGTCATCATTTTCTTGTATTAGAGTTTCTTCTACGAATGCCTTAATTTCCCTCAATTTAGCCATAAAATTCCTAAGCACAGGGATATAATAAATCCCTATCAATAATAACAGGGCTAAGCACATAGAATGATATAAATAAATGTTGAATCAGTGCATAGTATATGTGTGCCTATGTTTCTATATAACATATCTGAAAAATCAATACCAAAATCTTCCCAGGAAAAGTGCAGTTAGGGTAAGGTGAGATTTGATTTAATGGTCCCATATTGCTGAGAAGGCCTGATATATGTCTGCTATAAAATGCCAAATGCCTGAATACTTGGTTCAACTTCTTACATCTTCTATCAGGTTAGAACTATGACAGTATAGTCTCCTTGCCATTATATCTCCTGTCACTTTTACCTTTTCTAGTTGTATACATATTTATTCTCAGATAATGAACACTTAAAACCAAAAAGTCTAAACCCTAGTAAAACTCTGAAGTTTGTTAAGATTCAGGCTTTCTGCAATTAGGCATATGTTACCTCTGAGTGCATTTAAATAACCCCTGCCTAATCACAGACATGGATACCTGTAAAGCAAATGATTACATGGACTATGACAGAGTTAAACCTTTTTCCAACCTCTGTGAGGGATACTAATGATATTGCACTGAGCATACATTTGTCTTTCTTTTTTGTAGGAAAAGTGGTGGGAAGCTCAACCTAAAGCACCATGGAAAATGCTGAATCAGAACAAGCGTTTTCTGCTGACTTGCCAGCTCCCTCATCCTTCTTTTCTTGCCTCTGCTCTTACTTTTCTCTAGTGAATCCCTTCAATTTATAAAGACACACCTTCTACTCTACCTTGAGCTTGGGGAGTTCAATATATATTTCCCTTGATTCGCTTGTCAATAAAGTAAATTCTGTACAAGTACCGTCTGTGTTTTTACTTTGTGATCAAGAAAACATACAGATACAATACGGAATATTGACCTGGCGTAAACCTGGATAAAAAGACCTGTTTTTCTGATCAAAATCAACCATGCAGTCACTGTGGGATCTTAGGAAAATCCCTTCTCCCTCTCTTATTCTTGGAATTTCAATGTGAATAATGAAGGATTTTTAACAAAATGACCATATGTTTATAATTATATTACAATATCTACCATTTAAGTCTTAGATCATGAATTATAGGTTCTTTCCAATTTCAGGAAGACTATTTTATATAAAAATAAAACATTTATCCTCTCTGGACCATAGTTTTCTTATCTCTATGGAATGATGGATTACATGACTACGTAACAGACATTACATAAAGACATGCTTTATTTGGTTTCCCAGCAACATCGAAGTGTCTAACAGTTAGAAAGAAGTGAATATATATTCAATGAATAATGAATAGATGCAAAGTTTCTAAAAGTGTGCACATTAAAGAATGTAGTTAATTGATCTTAATCATGGAATGAGAGAACTGGATGAAATGTGAGGAATCTTAAGGCCTAGAGAAAGCTTACTTATACTGCCAAAGAAAAAAGCTCCAGTTAACAGAAAAGTCAAGGTTAAAACATAGCTCTTAGGGCTTCCCTGGTGGCGCAGTGGTTGGGAGTCCGCCGGCCGATGCAGGGGGCACAGGTTTGTGCCCCGGTCTGGGAGGATCCTACATGCCGCAGAGCGGCTGGGCCCGCATGTCTGGAGCCTGTGCTCCACAACGGGAGAGGCCAGTGAGAAGCCCGCGTACCAAAAAAAAAAAAAAAAACCCTTTTGATAATTAGCTCAGTCTCCATGTAGCTGGCTCAATCCTAGGTAAACAAGTTGAATATACAAATATCTCATTCTTAGCCATCCAGTTGGAAGTATTGAAAAATCTCCCTTTGAGTACTCTAATTCAGTAAAGCATGTATTTACAAGTAACATCTTCCTGGGTGAACTCACACAGAAGACCTCTCTAGATGCATTTTCTAGGTGATCATCCTTCTGCCAGCAAACATCTGAAGCAGGCTCTGTTCTCCATGCTTAGAATCCAGTGATGGACAGGGGTGAGAAAGAAACTTCTTAATGAAGTTTACATTCCAGGAAGGGGAAATAGACACAAAAACCCCATAATAATAACATAGCAATACTTAAGGCCAATTGCAATTCTAAGTCAGATGGTTAGAAGAGTCCTAACTAGGAAGACATGGAGATGAGGGAGTTAGCCAAAAAACTTCTTGTAGAACAGCAAATGAAGAAGCTAGAACACAGTCCTTAAGGCTGAAGCACACCTGATTTATCCAAGGTTCAGCAAGGAAGCCATGGTGATTGAAAAGGAGTGAGTGTGTGGGCAAATTACAGGTGATAAGGTGAGAGAGGCATAAGCCAAATCATGAAAGATTTTGTAGTCATTGTTAAGATGTTTTCTTTTATTCTTATGTATAAAAGTGTGTTAACTATAGATATTAAGATCATGTTTCTGTTTGTAAAATCTCAATTATATTTTATGCACATAGATGTTACCCTTTATGTATATAACTGAAGAGGGCCTAACCAAACTGGGGGATGCATTTGATATTTAGGTAAAGAGCCTGGGAGTGGATTAGGTTGTACCAGGGAAAATAAATACCTTCTCCTCTGTCAAGTGTGGCATTTGCACTCTTCCACGCTTAAAGGTTATTCCCCTTGCTGAAGAAAAATAACCACATAATACAAAATTAGGATAAGGTGATTCTTAAGAGGGTGGATCTTTGAATTGTACTGACCAGAATGTGAGTCATGACTCTGACATAAGGTATGTGTTTTTGAACACGTCATCTGACTTCTTTGAATTGTGATTTTCTCACCTGTAAAATGGGGATACTAGTCTTTACCTCCTAAATGTACTGTGAAAATTAAGAAAATGATGCATGTAAGCACTTAGTCTCTGATATGTAACAAGAGCTCAAACATCAGTAACTTTTATTATTATATTCTGTCCTCAATTTCAGCATTATATTGTCTTTATAAAGCACTGGTCAGGACATCTTTGCTCTTTTTCTCAGTATTTACATAGTTTTTAAAATGTCTATCTTCTGTTCATTTAACATTTTTGAAAATTCACGGTGTTTTTTTCTGTCAACTTTATCTGTGTACTAAATTCCCTGCTCATTAGAGAAATTAAGCCCTTTTCTCCTCTTTAGTTTCTACTCCCTGAAGTTATTTAGCTGCTCGAACATCAACATGTAGAGTGCTGTGTGTATTTTGATAACTGAATCACTTCACACTTTTGGAAGTACTACCTCTCTACGTGGCTCACTCCTCCTTTCTCCTATTGGAACTTTCACCTGCAGCCAGGCCAGATTCCTGTCAGCTGTCCACACAAAAATTACATTTCTACCACTTTGCCCTCTCCTGCCTGAAATGCCTCTCGTGCCACCTTCTCTCACTCTGCCTGCCTTTCTCCCTCATACAAATCTCATATCTACATCTTAAGACTACTATTTATTTGCAGGCTTATTTCCAGTGCCATAATTGAGTAAGTGAGCAAAATACTATCTCTTGTCTAGTTCTGAGCTAGTCTTTGGGTATGAAAGGGAAGCATATAAAAAGCAAACCACAGAAGATCAGCAATCATATGCTTCTTAGAAAGAAGAAGCAAGTCATATATAAAAATCAACACTCAAAATATAGGAGTTTGGGTTCAAGGATGTATACATTTGTCAAACCTCAGTGAATGTACACTAAAGATTTATGCATATCATAGTCTGTGAATTTTACATCAAAAGAAAAGGGTGTAAACATGTAGTGTAGTCTTAGCTATAACATGCATAGTGAAGTTCTCAGAGGGAAGGGTATTGATATCTGCAATTTACTTTGAATTGCATCAAAGATGGATTAATGAATAAATGGATCAATATGGGATGAAACAAGTGTAGTAAAATACTAATGGTTCAATCTACGAGGTGGGTTTATAGGGAATCACTGTAAAATTATTTTAACATTGTTGTATGTTTAAAACTTCTCCTTACAAGTGTTTTTTTGTTTTTTTGTTTTTGTGGTACACGGGCCTCTCACTGTGTGGCCTCTCCCATTGCAGAGCACAGGCTCCGGACGCGCAGGCTCAGCGGCCATGGCTCACGGGCCCAGCCGCTCCGTGGCACGTGGGATCTTCCCGGACCGGGGCACGAACCCGTGTCCCCTGCATCGGCAGGCGGACTCTCAACCACTGCGCCACCAGGGAAGCCCACAAGTGTTTTTTAAATGATTTTTTAAAACACACAAACTCTGCCAACAGGAGCAGATACTGATAATTCTGTTTATGTTCCTCATTGTTGTGATATCCAGGAAGGAACACGTTTCAAATATAGTTTGTACTCTTCAAAGCATAAAAAAAAATTTTATTTGATCTGAACACCCATATCTATCATTATACCTTCAGATGACAATGGGAACATTGTCAAAACTGGGTCATAATGAACTTACAACCACTAACTATCCTCAGGCATTTTTTTTTCCACACTAACTGTTGCCAAGTCACGTCCTTCTCAGCTCTTCTCCATTTACTGGTTTTTTGAAGTGAAATTCCTTGCAAATATGAAATGGTGTGTCAGTGATTAGGCTTAAGTGCAGGGAGCTTGTCTGGGGTTTTTTCTGTGCCAGTGTAAAGGTTTCTTGAAGTGGACACACACAAACTCACACACACACACTCTAAAATGAGAAGGGGAACAAGAGGGGGAAAAAAGGCCAGAGAAAACAGTAACTAAGATAAAGACTGAAATAATTCACCACTAATAAGGTTAACCAACTATATACTATTTCCCATGGTCACTGTGATAAGCCCACAAACATCATCACATTAAAACTTAGCAATAGTTGTGAAGTTATAGTCCCATTTTATAAAAGAGAAGCCTGAGGTAGAGAGATATAAATGATTTGGCCATGATCCTATAGTCAGTGTGTTTCAGAATCTGGATTTACTCAACATGGTTACGCCAACCCCATGTTCCTAAACTACCTTTCACATAACCATAGTAATTTGAGTGATTTGGATATGTGTTAAATTGGGGGAATTATATCATATATATTTGGAGACATCAGAAATGGAAGTAGTCATAATTCAACAAAGGCTTAAGCAAATATGTAAAGAGGGTGGCATACATCTTCCATAATTCCTAATATGTGAACAATTATGTTAATTTTGTGATGGGCCTACAGCTCTAGCCTGAGAAGGCCTGGTTCAAAAGGGCTACTAACCCTAAAATAGGCATTTAGTGAAATGTTCCCTGTCTCTCTCAAACTTTCCTTTCTTCTTTCCCAGTGCTGGTATTTGTGACTTTACAGAATTTTGGCTCATTACAGTTCTGCAGTTTGACTTAAGGGAAAATAAGCTGAACAGACTTTTCCTTTAGTTTGAAAAGATTTAGACCTAAACTAACAAAAAAATGTGTCCTTGTAGGCCAAGTTTACCTCACTACAGCTACCCTTTAGTTTTGATAAGAGGTGTATACTAAAGGAATGAACATAAGAAAGCACAGTTCCATAAGTTTTGGTATACTGTGTTCCCAATTTCATTTGTCTCAAGTTTTCCCCCCTTTTGATTTCTCCTTTGACCCATTGGTTTTTGGGGAATGTGTTGTTTAATTTCCACATATTTTTGAGTTTTCCAGTTTTCCTCCTATTGATTTCCAGTTCAGTAGTATTGTGATTAGAAAAGATTATTTGATATGATTTCAATTTTTCTAAGTTTGTTAAGACTTTTTGTGTGGCCTAACATATGATCTATGCTGGAGAATATT